CTTCTCATCTTTCAAATTATGAGCCTGATACTTTGTAAAAATAACTTCTGGACAGCAAGGTGAATAAATAATTTCTTTCTCATTTTTTTTTAAATTGTGAAAGATGAGGGGAAAGAAGAAATGAAGATTTACTGAATGTTTGCAGTGTACTAGCATACTGCTAGGTGCCATCGCATGAATTGTCTTTCACAGATAGCCAGCGTGATTAGGAAAAGCGTCATTCTACACACTAAGTGTCGCCAGCACTACCTTAGGTTAAATTGTCACATAATGGAACAGGATAAGCTTTCCAAGCAGGATCTAGGTAATGTCTATATAATGGTCATCGTGCTTTATCACATTACAGTCCAATCCAATCCTGGGACTTAACGAGTGCAAATAATATACTTCTATAGCTGTACAATAGATACCGTGAAGCTTCTCATCATCTAAATATAAGCACATACAATGAGTTTTATCAGGAAGTGTGATAACATAGCACTTCGACATGCAGATGCTGAGGTTGGGCTGTGGGGACAGAATTCAGCTCTGCATTTACAAATCATACTACTATATGCACTTCAGTTTCCTCATCTGTAAGAGAATACTAACATGAGATTAGTATTCTTAACTCATTCTAAAATCCACTGAAAGTATTTAGAATGGCATCAGACACTTAGTAAGTGCTCAGCAAGTGTTAGCTATTATGTATTCAATTCGGCCAGTTCTTAGAGACTGCTCCACTCTGGGGTCCACGAGTATCTGTATTGGCCCACTCTTATACATTAAACCTATGCCGATTCCAGCTAGATAGAAACACTGGGTTCAGCAAACAGAAGCCCTTGGAGACTGGGCTACTTTCTTGGGGTACCAACAGCCCCAGCCAAACTGGCCCCTTTCCTGCTCCCTGAGTATACCCATCTGCCCTCGCTGGGCAATGTGCAGAAATGTTTATGACGACCTCATTTGTTTACCTTTCGGTTACAGCCGACTTCCAAAGGCCAGGAACCGCTGAAATTAAACCAAGGCAGGGGCCAGGGGAGCAGACAGGTCCTGGGCCAGGGCCAGGAGTAATGAAGTGGAAAATGTTCACACCACAGGCAGCATTACAATGCACCTGTACAAATAGAACGAGACCTGCCTGCCCCCTTCCTCTGGGGGCCCAACTGCCTGGTTTCTCTTTATGGCTTCACTCTGTCTTGCCTGACCAATGCTCAGGTCTGGGATGAAGATAAGAAACAAAGACATCCAGAGTCCATTCATTATAGAAGGAGCAGAATGGGAGGGACATGAGAAGAGACATACCTGCAACCCAAACATTTCCTGAAAGTTCTGGTGAGTTCTCTGAAGGCCTGGGTGCCTAAAAGAGAAATGCAGCACAGGTAGTGAGTGTCAACTATGCATCAGGATTTTAACAGGGCATTTCATTCTTTCTTTCCTTTCTAAATTTGCTAGAGGGTGCATGTGCTTGCCAGAGAGAGTCAGAGAGGGAGAAAGAAAGTGAGAAAACACAACCCCCCACCCCCCGCAAGGGGGATGACCACACCTTAATCGCTCTCTTCCTCTCTCCTATTGGGATTTTGGGCATACACGCACATGTACCCAGCATGTTTTTCAGGCTGCTGTGGCCAGGACTCCCACTGTGCAGTCAGCCATGTGGGATCCAGTTGCCTTAACTACCACGCCACCCCGCTGGCCCAAGCAGGGCGTTTTCTGATACCTTCGTTCATTTCTCCCATCCAGCATGGTTTTGCTGCATTTCACAGACAAGGAAACTAAAGCCCACATACACAAAGCTAGCGGTGACAAATCCAGATTTGAATCCAAGTACTATCATTTCTCTATTACAACGAAGTTCCTCAGAACCAGAGTGTTGATTGATTTTCTCAAAGCCATGAAGCTATTGAGTGAAAACTCAGAGGTGCCAGGCTCTTGGTATGGCGATCACTGTGGCACTGGGCAGCAGAAAAGAGACTTAGAGACATCTGCCAGGCCAGCCTTGAATATCTGAAGCCTGTCTTTCTCCACATAGAGGCATGGGGGCCCTGTTGCTACTGTGATGGAAGACAGAAAGAGGACAAAATGAAGATTAATCTTTGGCCAAGGTTATACAATTCCTGAAGCAGTGTGACTTGGAGTGAGTCTCTCAATCCCATGGAGATGCAGTGTCTCCATCTCTGAAATGGGAATTCTGTGAGCATTACGTGAGATGGTGTCTCTAACACCCCAAAATCTATTGCTTTCGTCCTCTCTCAGGCTCCACCTACAGTCACTTCATCCCCAGCAGAGATTGTCGATACAACCATAAGCCTTCTCAGCATCCCAGGGGAACAAGTAAAGGTCATTGCCCCTACCGTACACCACAGAACTCAACTTTTATCACTATCTTCTCTTATCTCAGTGACTAGAATCATTAAGAGAACAAAAGATGGAAAACGGCATTGCCCAGAGCAGCTGAAATACAGTAGCCCTGCAATAAATTCCAGCACCCTTGACAAACCAGCAGCTCTTAGCAGACCAAGACTTGTTTTGCATTTTAACCCTGGCAGATGTATAGCTCTATGTAGCTCATGTCTGTCCAGTCTCCTAAGCACATTGGGAGCATCTTTCATTGTGTCCCCTCACTCCCACACTCATGGTTCAATCGACACCCAACATCCAGAGCAGGCCTCTCTAAATGCCAAGTGCTTATCATGTGGATCCAGGGACCAAGTTAAACATCATTTTCCAAGGAGGTGCTGCAAAGAACTCAACTTCACCTAAGTCAAAGTTAGGAAAGAACTACTTTTGCCATTCTTTGTTACTGATGTTTTTGCTGTCACTACGAACTTTTGTAATTACTCTTGCTTTAATCAAGGAGGAAGTCTTAATTCTGCAATATATTAAAATCAGGATTGCCCCCCCAAATATGCTGGCAGCCTGCTTACTACTAAACACAATCCAAAAAGATTTCAAAAACACATTTTGTACTGTTCAGTTTACTGACATGACTTGAAACTTTTGAAATATAAATGAAAAGTTTGTTGAGACATTGTCAACAAAACAATTTTCTGAAATGTTTTTGAAACCTACTTGGGGTTAAAAGTGAAAAGGATACAGTGATTAAATGTACATTAAAAATATTTTTTAATTAAAAGGGTTATAATTCATTGGAAGAAAGGAAAACTTCCATTGGAACATAATCACTTTATTTCATTTGGAAAGTATAGGCATACTTTGTTTTTTTCCAGACAGAAAGTTAAAATAGTGAGTTTCTATCATTTTAATTTTAAGATCTGAATGAATTTTTTAATTAAGAAAAAAATCAACATTGCCAGAATTTTATAAAACTCTTTGTTTGTACTTACTGTACTTTTTCATATGCAATAAACTTTCCCTGGTCCCTCATTATGTGTCCAGCAGGATAGGGAACTCCCTGCTTCTAGAGAGACATTGAAATACACACTGTAACTCCTGAAACAATGGAAACTCATATCAGAGAGAGCAATGAGTACAGAGTCAGCCTCCCTGTTATCTTAAAGGTGCTAACCTGAGCTGGGATGTGTTCCATCAAGGGATGGTCCCTTGATACACCATACAGTTCTGGCTACGTCTCTTAAACAGTCCAGTGGCCTGTGTCTTCAGAGTTACAAAGGTCGAACCACATATGGTCTGTGTCCCTCTATTTAATAGTTTATTTTACCCCTGTAATGGGCACTAATCAGACACTATTATTTAATGTTTTCACATGAAGATTGTGCATGACAGGAGTTCCATAAATATTTGTTGATCATATGAACTGTATAATCAAATCTAGTCTTGCAGCTAGAAGACTGAAAGCTTCTTAATCTTAGAGGTAAGTCTTAATCATTTTAATGTCTGTACAAGGAGACTTCAAAAAGTGCACAGAAAAATGGAATTAAAGTACAAGTTTATTTTGGTTCGAAAAAATTTCACAATCCATGCATAGGTTTTTCATAACATGCATTTTCTGTAAACTTCTGAAAACCTCTTCAGATCTGCATTTTAATTTCTATATCCTCACAGCAGCTAACTCTCACTTGTCCATCAGACTTAGATTGTCATTACCTCTCCAGGAAATGTTCCCCAATCCTCCAGGCTGGGCCATCCTCTATGCTTCCATTGCACTCGAAGTTTTCACCACTCTAACACTCATTTGTGTATTAGCTCTCCTCCCCTCCTAGGCTGATTTTCTTAGCAGAAGGTGAGAAATAGCCATCTATACCCTCCTCCATGCCTGGAACATGGTTGTTCTTCAATAGATGCATGTCAAGCAAATGAACCAACGAGTACATAGGTTCCTCTAATAGGGGTGAATTTCCTCAAATTGATTTTACTATCGTGTGGACAATGCCATGTTGGCATAAGCCAGGGTTCTAAAAAAAAGAACATTAATACCAGAAGAGTAGCATGGTACAAAAACGTGAAGGAAAAGGACCCTTCTGAATTTTTTTGTGGACTACCCTCACCTTTGGGATTCTTCCCGAAACCTAAAAGTAACTCTTTAAGGAAAACCCAGCAAGCGATTTCAAGAGTACCCAAGCAGCCCAGGTGTTTCCTGCAAAGGGCTGTTCCAATGTTCTCTTCCTGGCTGGGCTGAGGTGCCATGACTGGAAGGAAGCTTGGACTTAGATTACTTACTGTGCAAGATGAGAAGTCACTCAGTCTCCACACAGGAAAGCAGCTTGAACTCCCAGACCCAAATGTCAGCGTGCCATGCCCCCAACACCCTTACCAGCAGGTCAGTAATTCTGGAATATAAGCCTTTTTTTCAGGTTATTTTGTACCATAGAAATAAAAATATTTCCTTTTTCCAATAGGGAGCCTACTCAGTTCAGCTAATCTTCAGTATGTTCCACTTAAACAGGCCTCAGAAATACCACAGAAAAATGACAACATACTCCCCTAGAATACAGAAGAGCCCTCTATATATCTGAAAATGAAATCAGTCACTATTCCTTTAAATGGCAAACTACCCTCACAACTTTGAAACATCTCAAAGTATAAATTTCAAACTATACTTGGGGCCAACAGGTGGCATGGAAGTTAAGGCACTGGATTCCACATAGCCAACTCCAAGGTTCTAGTCCCTGACTTGGCAACTGAAAAATCATGTTGAGAAAATGTGCACGCATGCCCAAAATCCCAAGAGGAGAATGGAGGAGAAGGTATTGCAGCATAGCCATCTCCTTCTGGAGGATGGGAGAGTGACTTCTCACTTTCCCTTTCTCTCTGCCTCTTTCAAGCAAGCACATGCACCCTATAACAAAAACTTAAAACCAAACAAACAACTCTCTATATTTTTAGAAACACCAGGTATCCACAGTGGTACAATAAAGTTTTGGCCAAACAAATAAACAGATATTTACTACTCTTTGATGAAAGTTCAGAAATTTAAATCATTCTTACTTTCAAGACTTCCACATGCCATAATAATCTGACTTTCCTTTGTTCACACACAACCCATATGCACTGAATATTTTCCTATTTTTCCTAAAATCAAAACATTAGGCCCAAAGGTATCATCAATAATCAGGGAAAATGCTAGAGTTTTATCTTGCTGGTGACTGTATGGAGCAGCATTGAAAAGGATTCTGACAGCATGTCTGAATTTGACAAGAAAGTCTGTAGTGGTTGATTAGAGCTGTTTGTTATGGATATGTGACTGGAGAACACAATCATATATTTGCCATCCTCATAAGTCTCAGACTATACAGGATGAAACTGATCATTTCTTTCAACAACTAAATCACCATAAAAATGTCTTATTTCTGACTATTGTAATCCAAATGTAATATTATATTTGTTCAATATGCTATTTTTCTTAGATGCCTTCGGTAAGTATGAGAAGTACAATCCTTATGTAAACATATTGAATTGTTCCTTGAATTGTCATTTGGGGAAAGGAGACCCAGAGAGTTGACTGACTAGTCTAAAGTCACAAAGAGAAAGTTTTTCCCACTGGGCTTGAAATTATATGGCCATTATTGGGTCATTTCTATGAGATAGAGAAGTATGAGGGTACCTCAAAAAGTTCACTAAAAAATAGACTTAAAGTATAAGTTTATTTTCTTGCAAAATAAGTAAAAATCCATGTATTTTTTTCATAATGCACATTTTCCGTGAACTTTTTAAGATCAATCCCCTATAATACTAGTCAATCTGTAGGGTTTGGAAAAGCCATCCAGCCAAGATATGAAGTATCTTAGGCAGTAGAGATTCCACATATCACCTGAGTCAGTTTCCATCCAGTACCTGAGAAAATAGACCCCTTGTGAATAGAAGTATTCTAGTACCACTCATAGGACAGCGTTTTTCAGTTGTACTTGAAGTTTGTTGAACAAGAATTACCAGTACCTTACACTGTCATTGAACTGAGGCCACTAGAACCCACCTCACCCCAAGATCTTGGAAATCCTCCATGAGTATCAGTCTGGGACATTTGATGGTCACCAATGAAGGGATGGGACTCCCCAGTGTTGAGTTTGTATGGTCCCTGGTCCCTGTAGAGCTAGAAGTGCCCCTCACAGACTGTACACAGCTCAGACTCCTCCCTCATATTTGAATGATGTCCTCTTCTTTAGAAAATGCTTCCCTGAGATCACTCAGGTTTTCTGTCATGCCCCAGCTGAGTGAGTCCTCATCCGTATAATCCTTTAATCCATTGTGAGTCCCCTCAATTATTGACATCCCTTCTACATTCTTATAACCACACACTAGAGCCAGTGGGCTTCCCAAGGCCTTGAAGTATGTCTTGTTCACCATTACAGCTCTAGCAAGTGACACAATGTCCCCACTCCCCAGAGTAGGTGCTCTGTGAGTACCTGTCATACGAATGAATGACTACCTGGATGAATAAAGTCATCTGTAAGTTTATCAGCACACTGGGGTTTTATCTTTCTCAGAACTATCATAACCCAGTTGTTCCTAGGGCACATTTTCCCACAGCATGTTCTGGAGAATACTAGCAATTCATGAGTTGGCTGTTATACCGGATAATTAATAAATTAAAAGCAAAAGATAAAAAATAGTTTGGGGGATACTGTGTCTACAATGTAATTTAACATATATACATGTGTGTGAGAGTGTATGTACTCATTACTACAGCATAAGAAGAGACTTAAAAATGTGTGTGGAAAGATGGAATTAAAGTACAAGTTTATTTTGGTGCAAAATATTTCTGAAATCCATGCACAGTTTTATCATAATAAATATCTGTCATGAGTTTTTGATGATACCCTAATATGATGTATGATATTCTAGTTAATAAAAAATGGAGAAATAATACATCCTATATTAGACTGCCTAACAGTCTCATGAGAGATTCCTGATTCATAAACCTGGAACATCCCATGATAAAATGGTGCATAGACAGCCCTAACCAACTCATGTACATCACTTTTGGAATGGTTTTTGGTCTCTCTGCCATGTATCTCTTAAAGGAGCAGTATGTATTTCTGATTTTTTTTTTTTTGAGGTTTTTGTTATTGGGTGTGTGCACTCACCAGAAAGACAGAGAGAGACAGAAAGTGAGAAATCACCTACCCAGGGGAATGGCCACACCACAATCCCTTCTTCTCCATTCTCCTCTCGGGATCCTGGACACGCACACACACACACGACCGGCGTGAGTTTAAGCCACCAGGTCCGGGACTCGAACCACGGTCAACTACATGGGAGTCCAGCAACATAGCCATTATGCCATCTGCTGGTCCCTGTATTTCTGATATTACTCAATGTTTTCGTACTTTAAACATATGAATTGAAATGTGATCATTTCTGGCAACAATTCAATCACCATAAAAATCTTGTATTCCTGACTACTTTAATCCAAATGTACAGTATATTTTTACAATATACTATTTTTCTTAGAAGTATTGAATAAGTATGAGAAGTACTATCCTTATGTAAGCACATTGTTGAATTGCTCTTTGGGGAAATAAATAGAGATTTAGGAATGGAGGGAAGAATAGATAGAGAGTTGTACATAATAAAATGAAATTTTGCAAAGGTTAAAGCTTAAAAAAGAGATGAAGTGCTTATAAACCCACTATAAACCAGGATTGTAAAGGAACTATAAAACACACAAAGACAAACAGAAATGAGCTTGTAAATGATAGAAACTCTTGGGTTTTATTATAAAACATAAACTGGTGGTTTGTCCATGTGATAGATAGGCACACAAAATGTAAAAGAAAGTTTAAAATAAAAAGGATGCAACATTGTAAGTCAGATCAATATACAGAGAAAGCAGAAGTAAATATTAGACAAGGCAGATTCCAAAAAAGGGCAAAATAACCACTTCACATTGAAAAAATTCACAATCCAAAATAAGGACATAACAGTAATGTATCATTAAAATTAAAAATTGCAGACAAATTTTGAACAACAGCAATACCTGAAGGTTTCAGATACTGATCTTTAGAGGTATATTCTATTACTTTTAAATTGAAAAAAAAAATTTTAACCAAAAAGTTTTTTTTAAATAAACCCTCCACACCAAAGGAACACTGATAGGAAATTTAAAAAATAATAATAATAATAAAAACTGTAAAGATGAAATGCAATTAATTTGAAGCAGAAATAGAGCACACAGTGATCTCACATATAAATCCAAGGACTATTTCTTTGGGGTGAAAGTAAAATACCTTTACAAGCCTATGAAAAAATCTATTCAAGAAAAAAGAAACAAATTAAAAATGCAGATGGTATTAACACATATTGAAGATAAAAATGTCTAAATAATTCTATATACAGCTATGTGCTGATACTTTTGAAAATTTTTATTAACCTGAATAATTTGTTAAGAATGCAAATTATGCAATTAGTTCAAAAAGAAATAGTAAAAATATTATATAGAACAATAACCAAGGAACAATCCAAGAAAATTATTTTCAGGATTACTCTCTCCCTCAGTTCACAACCTCCAAGCCTTACATGGTGAATTCTTTTATATTTTAAGGAGATATTTCCATGTTGCCTAAAGTGTCTAGAACACAGAGAAATAGGAACAGTTATCTCATTTCTTTTATGAAGTTATCATAAATCCTTATGTTAAAATCTGACAGATAATACCAGAAGACAAGGGTACAGCTTAACTTCACTATAAATATTTCTAAAAATGCTAAATCAAGTGGCAATGAATAGAATTCCATAGAGAATTTTCAAAAATAACAATCTACCATGACTAAGCGGGGTTTTTTCCCAGGAATTCAATGATTCTAAATATCATCTTGAGGCATAAAAGAGGGAGAAATACAAAGTTGATTTGGATAAATAATGAGAGTGACCCTTGACAAGTTTTAGAACATATCATAGGTCTAAACTTATTAAAATAGTGTAACACCAATACAAGAAAGCCTAGGCTGGTGAATGACATGCAATACACACAAAAAATAGGCCCTGCTTTACCTTCAGAGGGACTACATAATTTTGACATCACAAATCAGTGAGGATGGAAAAAAGAAGAAAGGAGACATGACTTGGGAGAGGAGGAGACTGACCACTGTCTTTAAATGTCTTCAGCTCTTTGGCTAAAAGAGGAATCTTTCTCCCAGTTTATATCTCAGAGTCAGAATCAGAAAGAATGAGCACCAGGGAGAATGATGTTGATAAAGAGAAATAAGTAGAAAGTAGATAAAGTGGAAAAACAGCACCAGCTGCCAGGGAGCAGGACCTGAACCTTAACTTGCAGCAACCATGCAAAATGAAAATGGAGGACTCCTGGTTCAAAACACTCAAGTCCTTCAAGATGGCAGCAGCAGAGCATCATTCCAGATAAGGCATGTGACCACACAGATCATGCCTGCCTTGCTGTCGGGAACAGAGAAATCTTGGTGTGCATATTGTCAAGTGGCTTCAACCATAAGACTGATAAATAGGTTTCATACTAAGACAGTCGATAACAACCCTTCCTCTCACTCTCACATATTCATCCAAAGATGGGAGACACAGTCACACACTCGGGCTACCATTTCGAGGCTTCCCTCCTCCTCCATGGAATTGCCCAGCACTGTGCCAAATGCATAGTGCATGCTCATCACAAGTTCCTGAAGGATAAAGCCTATTTCGCGTTGTGTAACTTCACTGTTTCGCCCCATTTCTACACATATTAACTTGTTTGATTATGACAGAAAAACATTATTTCCCATTTTTTCTAAAAAGGGAGTTAGACTCCGGTAAATTCTGATGTGCCCAAGTCACAAACTGGTGAATTGGCCATGTGGGACTCAAACCCAAGTTTTTTAATCCTGTCATTCATTCATTCATTCATTTATTTATTTATTTATTTATTTATTTATTTATCCATCCTTCTACTCCTCTGAACTACTTCTATTGAAGGCCCCCTGTTAGGCCCTTTGAGCCCCACACCTTCTGCCCTTAGGAGTTCACTGTTCAGTGGAGAAGACTGCCAAGCAGATGCGTTCCACAATACCAGAAGATGAGTAGAAGAATGAAAGTGCTGAATGACAGGGCCTCATTGTTCATTATGCCTGAGTAATACTCCATTGTATATATTGGTCACATGTTCCTAATTCAGTCATCTGGTTGTAGGCCCTTAGGTTGATTCCTGTTGAGAGTGTCTGTCTCTCTCTCTTGCATACATAAGCACTCTTATCATGAATAAAATAAACTTTAAAAAGGAAAGAAAACCAAATATATTAGTTCAAGAAGGAAAAAGAAAGAAACCAATGGAAGTGAATATACAGAACAGAAGTAATAGAGAATGCTAAACTCCATCTACAGGGGCTGAGGGAGTCTTCACAGAGAAAGCAACTGCTTAGCAAGCTTTGAAGGGTGAAACTGAATGTTTCCCATTACATAGCTGACACACGAAAAAAGATCTAAGAGCCTCTGGGCTCTCAAGGGAATTTTGCTAACTTAAGATTAAGTCTATGTCCAGTTTATTCAGTCCCACCAATGGCAACTTTGCACCACAGGAAACCACTTATAGAGACTGATTTCCCTAGCAAGTGACAAGAGGCCTAGGAGCTCAGGTTAGGCAGAGGCCAGGAGCTGGGAATAGCCTAAGGATAGTCCACATCTTAGATGCGCTTTCTAAGCATAGTATGTGCATCATTCCATGAATATTATGTGAGCCTCACAGTCATCCAGAGAGGTCAGTGGGGCAGGTCCTGGTTCTCAGATAGAAATCACACTGAGCCTGTCTAGGCCTGAACTGGGCTGTACTACTAGCAGATATCAGGACCAGGATCAGAATATCTGCAGCTTACCTCTAATCCAAGGCTTTGTCCATCTGCTCCACGTGGAAGATAAGATTCTGTCCACTAGCCAGAGAAACAGGCTTCTCAGTTCTCGAGCAAGTCTCTTCAATGTTCTAGTCCAGTTCACCTCCAGGGCAAACAGATGATGTCTGCTACAACCTGTTGATCATAACATCCCTGAGATAACGCTTGGGGAACTCAAGCTCCACAACAGATTTCTATCAAATCCTTGGCCAATGGGGATTTCATAACAATAATGAATTTACATTAGATAGAGCAGCGTTATGAAAACAGCAAAAGTAGCTATGATAGCACATATTGTTAAAAGCAGTGTATGTATAGAGATCAAGGACTACTTTCTAGATTTGGCTCTGCCTTTTTGTTTTAATCTTTTAATTATTTTTATTATTACTTTTTAATTTGCTAGAAGATATATGAGCTTACTGGAGAGAAAGAGAGAAATAGAGAGAGAGGGAAGGTAAGAAAGCACTCCTCCCAGGGGAGGATGGCCATGCCGCAATCCCTACTTCTCCATTCTTCTTTCAGGACTTTGGACATGTACAACATATACCTGGTACATCTTTCAAGCCACCAGGTCCAGGACTTGAACCACACAGTCAGCCATGTGGGATTCAGCTGCCTCAACTACCATACCACTGGCTGGACTTATTTGTGGGGGGCGGGGAAAAAAAAAAAAAATGGTACATGTTCCTAATTCAGTCATCTGGTTGTAGGCCCTTAGGTTGATTCCTGTTGAGAGTGTCTGTCTCTCTCTCTTGCATACATAAGCACTCTTATCATGAATAAAATAAACTTTAAAAAGGAAAGAAAACCAAATATATTAGTTCAAGAAGGAAAAAGAAAGAAACCAATGGAAGTGAATATACAGAACAGAAGTAATAGAGAATGCTAAACTCCATCTACAGGGGCTGAGGGAGTCTTCACAGAGAAAGCAACTGCTTAGCAAGCTTTGAAGGGTGAAACTGAATGTTTCCCATTACATAGCTGACACACGAAAAAAGATCTAAGAGCCTCTGGGCTCTCAAGGGAATTTTGCTAACTTAAGATTAAGTCTATGTCCAGTTTATTCAGTCCCACCAATGGCAACTTTGCACCACAGGAAACCACTTATAGAGACTGATTTCCCTAGCAAGTGACAAGAGGCCTAGGAGCTCAGGTTAGGCAGAGGCCAGGAGCTGGGAATAGCCTAAGGATAGTCCACATCTTAGATGCGCTTTCTAAGCATAGTATGTGCATCATTCCATGAATATTATGTGAGCCTCACAGTCATCCAGAGAGGTCAGTGGGGCAGGTCCTGGTTCTCAGATAGAAATCACACTGAGCCTGTCTAGGCCTGAACTGGGCTGTACTACTAGCAGATATCAGGACCAGGATCAGAATATCTGCAGCTTACCTCTAATCCAAGGCTTTGTCCATCTGCTCCACGTGGAAGATAAGATTCTGTCCACTAGCCAGAGAAACAGGCTTCTCAGTTCTCGAGCAAGTCTCTTCAATGTTCTAGTCCAGTTCACCTCCAGGGCAAACAGATGATGTCTGCTACAACCTGTTGATCATAACATCCCTGAGATAACGCTTGGGGAACTCAAGCTCCACAACAGATTTCTATCAAATCCTTGGCCAATGGGGATTTCATAACAATAATGAATTTACATTAGATAGAGCAGCGTTATGAAAACAGCAAAAGTAGCTATGATAGCACATATTGTTAAAAGCAGTGTATGTATAGAGATCAAGGACTACTTTCTAGATTTGGCTCTGCCTTTTTGTTTTAATCTTTTAATTATTTTTATTATTACTTTTTAATTTGCTAGAAGATATATGAGCTTACTGGAGAGAAAGAGAGAAATAGAGAGAGAGGGAAGGTAAGAAAGCACTCCTCCCAGGGGAGGATGGCCATGCCGCAATCCCTACTTCTCCATTCTTCTTTCAGGACTTTGGACATGTACAACATATACCTGGTACATCTTTCAAGCCACCAGGTCCAGGACTTGAACCACACAGTCAGCCATGTGGGATTCAGCTGCCTCAACTACCATACCACTGGCTGGCCCTGGCTCTACCATTTATTGCCCATATGTGAGTGCCATGGCTGACTCATAGACTCAGTTTCCTTTTATGGCTAATGAGTATGAGGTTATCTACTTGACTGAGTTGTTTGAGAATGAAACAACATAAAAGATGTGAAAGGTTTTTTCTTATATAAAATGCTATAGAAACACTAACTTGTATCCATAGTAGCAGTATTATTCCATTGTACTCAGAAAAAAAGATATATATGTCATTATAATTACAAACCTAAATCCTCAGTGCTTGTGTGGAGTCCACATTACTTCTAGGAAACAAACAATTATATTAAGGTAGGATAAATTAAAACTTTTCAAGGATGTGTAAACTGACAGAACTTCAGTTGGAATGAAAACTCCCCTTTCCATCACAGATAAGCCATATATCCAAAGCCTAAATTATGTTTTACAAAGGAAATATTGCAGGATCTGTGACAAGTTGCCAACATCCTTTCATAGAAGCAACTATGCCTCCAAAGGAACTTTAGTGAGAACCAAGACATGTATAAAATATCATCATTTCTGCCAGCCACAGTGGTACAGCAGTAACTCTGCAATGCTGAGGTCACGTGGGAACATTCCACATTTGCATCTCAAGATCTCCTTATACATACTAAGTGCACATGTACATGCCTGTGATCTCAGCTGGCTGAGATCAGGAGTGGATCATGGTATGAAGAGCCTGTTGGAGGTGCCCCCCCATCACCTGTGCCCTCTGGCAACTGCATGCATACTCTAGCAATAAAAATTAAGTAAATCAAAAGTATACCATAATTTAAGGCATACAGAATTTGGGTCATTATCTTGACACAGGAAGCAGGCTAGGGAGGTCTAGAAGAGACAAAGATCAGTGAAGTCTCCCTGAAAGAATAACTTCTGAATTGGGCTTTGCGATGGACACAGATGATTAGTTTGGTGTGGTGAAAAGAGCCTGGCCTTTGAATTCAGGAACTGACCCTGGTCCAACAATAGCTTCTACCTCTGAGTCTAAATTTCCTTATCTGTAAGGTATAAGAACACTACCAACTGGGAAGGATTTGGGCTAGGAATAAATTAGTAAATAAACTGTTTATTTTTTACTATATACACAAAACTTCGGTTTCCACGCAATACCTGTGCACCTGGGAGAGTCCAAATTATGTTTCTAAAATAAAATAATGGAGCACTCTCTGTGTGTCCAACAGAGTGCTGAAAGCAATCTGAATATAATAGAATTATAGTTTTTCCCAGATTCTAAGATGCCCTTAATCTTAGGAAGCACCAGTACTTTAATAACTTCAACCACTTTTAAGTTGAAGGAAGGGAAAGATAACACTGATGCACATATCAACTTATAAGAGCCATACAGTTTTCAGAAAAAGTAAGTTTGAGAAAATGACATCTTTGAATTTGAAGATACATGGTCTAAATCACAGCCTCTACCCTCAAAAAGTAAGTAGTTGGCAAGATAAGACTATACGGATAAAAAAAAGAAAAAATCTTAAGCAAGTACATACAGACTAATTACCAAGGGTCTCAGTCAGTCTTTTGCTTTCTGCAGAACATTTGGAGATCTGCAACCAGGGACCTTGCCCTTGCATTTCTTACATCCCACAGCTGTAAGCAACAGGTTCAGATATTCTTGACCAGGCTCAAAGATTTCTATAGGCATCCACCATTAGATAGCCTGCAGAATAGCCAAGTGTACATTCAAATCAAACCAACCCGATTTTAACAGCATGTCCTAAGCCTCTACTCTGGGCATCTTGTAGGAAGACCCAAAGCCTTGCTTATCTCTGCTGTCCCCCACAGCCCTGGTAGGGCACACCATGCCAGTCAACGTGACTGGTTTTCCAAAATGAGCTAAATCGATTTTATTACCCAAGGGAACTTCAGGTTCTCATATAAATGAAATAGAACCAATCACTGGGCTAATAGCCTACATCAGTACTTCTCAAAGTTGTCGATGTTAAAGGATCCCATGTTATTTTCAATCTGTAGTCAACTGATACTCTTATAAAATATAAAATTACATGGTTGGATGCTGTGATGGCCCCAACCTTTCAGACCCTCGATTTCCTTACCTGGACATATGCAGACCTACTTGTGATCATTGTTTTAAATGTATGATGACTTCCTATGGTGGCAAGGTAGTCAAATGAGGCACGGCTTGTCACAGGCTAATATCAGAAATAGCAGGAGAGAGGAAACTTCTGATGAAACTCCCTGAAAGTAGGAAAAAAGGCTGTAAAGGATCTCCAATGAAGAGCAGCTAAGAGGAGAATGATTCAGAGGGACAACAGAGCTGCCTTTATTTCAAAAGAGCTGTTCTATCAGAATTTGCATAGGCCTCTTCTGGGTGGTCCTGGAGCTGAGAACCACAACCAGCATGAAAAATTATGTATAGAGAGATTTCTGCTCAAAGGAAGACATTTCTGGCAGCCAGAGCCTTCAAAGATAAAGGGGCTAGCTTGGCTGGAGTGAGCTGTGGCTAGTAGGTGAAACATGTGTCCGTCTGTCAGGGGAGCCTATAGTGAGTGACCCTAGGGAGAGGTCAAAGATTAGGCTAGGGGGACTCCAGGTGTTTTCCAAACCTACCTTTACAACTCTAAAAATCTATGAAGCAATTTTTTTACTATGGGGTGAACCTCTTCAGCCTTATGTTACTAAGGACCTATAAAGTAGGACAGCTTGGAAGATGTCAATCAGTCCACCAGAACTACTGAAAAAGGCAGAGCAAGAGCTGAAAAGCCATCCTAATGTCCCTTTCATTTGTCTAGCACATTCCAGTATATGAAACATCTTCATATGCTGCCACACCAACTCAGAGAAGCCAATATTATTATTACCACCAATTTGCAAAAGTGAAGGAAAGCCTCAGGTCCTAGTTTAGCAAAGAACTCAAACCCAGTAAGTTAGAGATCTGGAATTCAAAGCTAATCTTCAGACTCTGGGTCCCAACCTCTACCCACCGGTCTTTCCTCAAGCCTCATCATCCTTTTTTGAGACTGGAATACTTATCCTAAGTAACCATTCCCATCCCAATACTTAAGGTGCTTGTGAAGGTTGGAGGTGACAAGGCATTTGAAAATG